GTAGCAGATTGGCCGCCCCCGATATCGCCTCCTATTTCGGGAACGTCCTCTCGATCCCATTTGGGGAAAAGCGAATTAGGGATCTGAGGCGAAAATCCCTAAATTGGGTGGCCGACGAGGTCCACGCGTTCCTGCAGGCTGCCCTGAGCAAGGAACATTTTCTGGGGTTAATCGATTGGGTGGAGGAGCACAGGCCCGAGCCGGGCCTGTCGAGAATCTACGCGGCCCCGGCCACAGCGGAGGAGCCGGCGGTGGTGGTGTCCTCCGGGCAGCATTTTCCAGTGAGTAAGGTGGATTTCGGGTGGGGCCCACCGGCGTTCGGTTCGTACCATTTCCCATGGGGAGGAAAATCGGGCTATGTGATGCCAATGCCGGGCCCGAAAGGTAATGGAGATTGGATTGTTTATATGCATCTGCTTAAGGAGCAGTTGGATCTTATTGAGACTAATGCAGGTCATGTGTTTGTACCTCTTTCTTCTGATTATATATTTTCATGTTGAGTTGTTTAAAAATTAATATCTGTAAATTTTACCTGTAAAAAAGAGTGATTGTTTGCTGTCGAAAAATCGAATCTGGTCGAAAATTCCAATACTAAAACAGCGAAAAAAAAATTCACAAAATATTTTCATTATACTCGAATTTGTGCTCATCAACGGCCATCGACCATTGTAAGAGTTACATTGTTTAAGGATATTGAACTACTCTTTTGGCTTTGCTGAGTAGAACTTGTGCCCGTGCTAGAATGAGTCGAGTTCAAAACAAATGCTGACTGTTTAGGCTCGGGCAAATCTATAATCTCACTCCTAAGCATCGAGAGCACGAATGAAATAGACGGTCTATCTTGAGGCAATTCTTGAACACACAATAATCCTATGTGTATGCACCTCACAATCTCCACCCGGTGACTCGATATTCTCTGGTCGATGACATCACCGACATTTCCTTCTTTCCACATTTTCCACACCTAATGAAGAGTAATATGCATTACAAACAACGTAATTTTTCCGGGTGATTTATGGTGTAACTAGCAATGAATTTCAACCATTTGGATTGTGAAATTAATCCGAAATGAGAGGTGCAAAAACTTACGTGGCCCAAAAGGTTAGACGATGCTTCATGGTTGTAAAAGCTCGTGTTCTTTCTCCCGCTAGCAATCTCCAACATCAAAACACCGAAGCTGAAAACATCCGATTTCTCCGAAAATCTTCCTTCGATCGCGTACTCTGGAGCCATGTAACCGCTGCGAGAAAATCACATCCTTTTATATCAAAGCTTGAAGGGAAAAAAAAATAGAAAAAAAAAATGAAAATATATTATCACTTACTATGTTCCCACGACTCGTATTGTGTTGACGTGGTCTTGCTTCCCGCCAAGAATTCTCGCCATGCCGAAATCGGAGATTTTTGGGTTCCAATTATTGTCTAGGAGTATGTTGCTCGGCTTGAGATCTCTATGAATAATCTTGAGTCTCGAATCACGGTGAAGATAAAGTAGGCCTCGACAAATACCGTGTATGATGTTGAAACGTTTTCCCCAATCTAGGACCTCTTGGGATGCATCTTGTAAACAAAAAATCGGAACAAGCTAGGTAAGTGAAATCAAGCTTGAAAAACAGAGTGCTAGAGGATTTTCGAGCTAACCAAAGAGTATAACATCCAAGCTTTTATTCGGCATGTATTCGTAAATCAACATTTTTTCATTATTTTCGACACTGCACCCGAGCAGCCGAACGAGATTCTTGTGTTGCAGTTTAGAAATCAGCAAAACTTCGTTCGTGAACTCTTCCATCCCTTGGCCGGATGCCTTTGAAAGCCTCTTGACCGCGATTTCTTTCCCGTTCGCCAATACACCCTGGAGATAACAATATTTGATTATTTTCTTATCCAACGAGCAACATATTGACATTTAGTGGAAAAAAAAAAACGTAAAATAAGATTTGTTTTTACCTTGTACACCGGGCCAAAACCACCTTTCCCGAGCTTGTTAGCATCCGAAAATTTGTTGGTCGCGCGCGAAAGTACCTCGAATTCGAACAGCGGCAATTCCTCAAGATTAAATTTGCTTAATGTGCCTGTGTTTTCAAGGTCTCTCATTCTTTTTCTGCCTAATAATGGACACCAAAACAAGCAATGAACATATTTAATCCCATATAATCCCATATATAAGCCGATAATCAAGAATCCGAAATCTAACCTCGTTTCTTGGCCAGCCATTTCCATGAAATACCGACGCAAATGGACACTACAACAAAGCCAACTACAACCGAACTTACTATAATCTTCGTCGAGGCTTCCTTAGACTCTGCAAATATCGACTAAAATCGATAAAAATCAAGAGAACTTTATGATTTTCCTTGTAAAAATATGCATTCTTCATATCAATATCGTCTGCATGACCCATTTTTATGATCTTGACGAAACATAGACGAATAAAACAGGGCATTCGATCTCACTTTCATATATAAAATAAAAGCAAA